GAGCACACTAGAATCTACTTCGCCCAATGTTCCATCTTGTACTGCTTTCAGAAAGATTGCTTGGTCCCTAATTATCACTCAGCTGTGCTCTCCAGTGCTGATGTCTGAAAGCTGTGATTAATACTGGGACTCACTGGGAAATAGTTTCTCAGTAGATTCACTTCCTCTTTCTAGGATTCTCCCGCTCACTGTTCTCTCTTCTTGTCTTCATTTTCTAACCAGTTTGGCGCTATTGAGGGTTTTGGGTTTTTCATTTTTAATGCTGTTTTTATGCAATCCCACCTTCATTAAGAAATGACCAAAGACACATTGATATTTTTATTCCAGTCAGTCCTGGGGGAAGGCTGTGCTTGAGGGGATCCAAATGGCAGAGGCTTCGGGACTGGTGTGTGAGTGGGGCTGGGGAATAGTGGAGTTGTTCAAGGGCCAGTGTCTGTCTCTAAGTACTTGTCTGTACCTCCTGTGACGGTGACGGAAGGAAGGCTGGAGGGAACCAGGGTCTGCAGCGGTAAGCTTGGCTCCTGGAGGATCCCTCTTCCCTGGATACGACCACTAGATCACTTGCACTGGCCTTCAGTACTGGAGAATCTCTCTGAAGAAACCAGTTGGTTACAAAACTCACAGCTGTCACCAAATACGGGAGTCCTCTCACAGCTGAAGAAGAACACGGACTCCAGAAGGGATATGGTTGAAGTTTCATGAATGAACTGAGTTCATAAGTATACTCCCCCACCTCTAAATGCTTGCCACTTTCCAAACACATGTTATTCTGTCTCTTTGTCCCACTTCATCCTCTGAGCTCTCTTTTGTGGTCCAAGGCAAGTCCAGACCCACCTTGTTTATTCTCTTGATCTTTCTTAACATGATTTTTCTGTAACACTCTTAAGCACTCCATGGGTGGCAGGTCATTTTGAAAGTCAAGAAGTTCATCCAGGGTTCTATGATCCATAAGAAGGTGCTCTGGGATTGAAAGAGTAAATTAAGAGCGTTTAGACTCAGAAGCAAAAGCCCTGGCCGGAGTGTGAGCTGGGTGGAGTGTGAGTTGAATTTGCAGTTGGCTGCTCCAGCATGTCTGGACGACCATTGGAGCCAGCCCAATGGCAGGGATTTCACAAGACCCAGGCTCTCCTGGGAAATCATTAGTCCTATGGAAGTGGTTCCTGGAAAGACCTGACCTCTGCTGCTCTCGGGTTCCACACATGTTCCACACATGTTCTGCCTGCAGCTCTTCCTCTCCCTTTCCACCAAGCTAATTGCATTTGTATTTCCGAGCCGAATTTTAAATGTTTCTTCCTAAGAAAACCATCAGTCACTGCCAAGACTGTCAGCCTTCCTGCTTCTTCTTTCCCAAGTCTCTTGATTCCTCGTCATCCCCACAGCATCTCAGATCTTTGTGTTCGCCCTGCCTGAGAATGTCAGGAGGCTAAGGTCCTGCTCCCTCCTGTTTACTCCATGTTAGGGTCAGTTCCTAAAGATGGTGGGAACTCAAAAATATTTATATTAGTAAAGGAGCATGCACAAATGTGATGCTTTGCTTTGAGGGATGCCCTGCCAGCACATTTACATTAATATATTAAATCATTTAATCACCAAAAAAGTCCATTTTCCATTCTCCTGATTTTATATCCATTTGGCTGTCCAACTAGGTCTTGGTGATTAGTCTTGAGTCTTCTTTACACATCTCCATACTGAATTGATCAACAAATTCTACCTGTGTTCCAATGAACCTTTTGTATACTTTTTAATGTTTTTCTTTTATTGAAAATTAATTTTTTCATACAATATATTCTGATTACAGTTTCCCCTCCTTTCAGTTTCTCCCTTCTTATCCAGACCCAAATCTTTTCTGTCTCTCCTCAGAAAACAGACATCTAAGGAATAGAAGTAAAACAAAACAAAACAAAAAAACTAAACCAGAATAAGACAAAACAAATGAAAAAGAGCCAAGGAATAAGCACCAGAAACACATATACATACAGAGACGTACATGTTCCCCCCCACAGGAATATCATAAAAACACAAGCTAGAAGCCATAATGTATACACATTGAGTCCTGCAGGGTAGAAAGAAAACCTGGCAGGATATTATGAGACAAAGAACCTCCAAAGATGCCACTGAGTTTGTGTGTGTGTGTGTGTGTGTGTGTGTGTGTGTGTGTGTGTGAGAGAGAGAGAGAGAGAGAGAGAGAGAGAGAGAGAGAGAGAGAGGAGAGAGAGAGAGAGAGAGAGAGTTGACCATCTACTACAGGGCATGGGACCTGCTCTTAAGAGTGATTTGTTTTCCCACTGAAGCTCCACTAGAGAGAACTAATATTTCATTTTCAAGTGACTTTCCATTGGAGATAGCTTCTGGGGTTTTGATCTTCTGATTACAGTGCCCCCTCTGTCCATCCATTTCTATTCCATTTCCCCTTCCTAAGGAGATACCACTCCTAGTCTCTTACTCTATACCTACCTCTGTGGCTCTACAGATAGTAGCTTGCTTTTATCAATGACTTAACAGCTAGCATCCACATGTAAGTGAATCTATACCGTATTTATCTTTTCAGGTCTGGGATACCTTATTCAGGATGATTTTTCCCAGTTCCATTCCATTTACCCACAAGTTTTGTGATTTAATTTTGTTTTAACAGCTGAGTAATATTGCATTGTATAGATGTACCACATTTTCTTTGACTATTTGTCTACTGACTTGCTAATTTCTGGCTATTATGAAAAGAGCAGTAGTAAATATGGTTGAGCAAGTGTCTCTGTAGTAGGTGAGGCATTCTTTGGGTATATGCTTAGAGTGGTGTTGTAGATGTAACCAATCGTCTTTTTAAAATAAGAAACACAGAGCCAATGTAAAAGAGAAAGCCGAGAGGTCAGAGCTCAGAGATAAAATCT